CCAATTTCTAAAAGTGGAAACCCTAATTCAGTGCACTTTCTAAATTTGGAAACTTCCCGATTTAGAAAGTTCACTAAGATGTTTGCCTATTCTTTTCCTTTTCTTATTCTCATTCATATTCCAAATTATGAATGTTGGACTCAATCATATTGACTTCAAATCATGCAAAGATAAAACATTTTTATCTCTGACCGTTTATTCAAAGATCTGGAGTGCACGAGCAGTGTGACCCTCGATGGTTCAGGTGTAAGCTAGCCGTGGGTCCACAACCCTTTGTGGTCTAAACTCGTCCCTTAGAGTTATGATTAAGATGAAGCTCGTTTCACCTTAATCACCCAACGAATCAAGATTGGCGTCTAGCAACTACGCGTCATGATTTCCTAGATACAAATGAAGTGCCTGCAAGAACCTTTTGATATAGTTAATGTACAGTACGACCCCTTCGATTCATATGTCCCGATTGAACTAGAGGCATTGGTTCTTCGAGACCTCCTTAGTAGTTCAATGACTGTGCAATCGTTCTAAGTGTTGTAATCGGTACGTGCATGACTTAGAGAATCGAATTCTCTAATCATCACTTTGTCAGCTCTGGCCAGAGACTTAGAGATTACAAACTATGAGAACACACAGGACATCCAAGACTATTCTAACGATCGAATCCCCGACTACAATGCACAGGCCTCCCACTAGATTTTGGACTGCACGAGCACTGGGCCTTGGGGCGGTCCTCGGTGGAACTCAGGGACAAGTCACGATACAGCTGGTCCTCTAGTGAAGTCACGGTGATGTCTAGGTCATAAGGACTAATGGTGTACAACTATACCATAAATATCTCTACTCGATTATTGAGAACTACTTAGAGATTTCTAGGGTGAGGGAGTTCAGTGAACTCGTCAACTTACGAGCACCCACTTATGCATGCCGATATCACAATATTGTTTACTGATGAGATGCAGTACACATACACTAAGTTCTAGTCTCTTAATGGGAAAGGCCGATATCCTCATTGGTGGCGTAACCCTTCGACTAGGAACACGTTTAACAGTTACAATACTAAAGTAAATATCTCACGATCCTAAAGATCATTTACTAGTACTTGTATAATAAATGTAAGGACTATATCTATGTTTGTGACAAAGGGACATAGATATAGAATGCCAAGGTGTTTTTATCATTAATACGAAAAAGGTTTATTTATTACAAGAATAAATGGAAAGACCACAGCTACAAGTTGGCTTGTTAGTCACCTACTCTAACACCAGTCTGCTGGTGAAAACCGCGAACAACCCACCGTACCCTGGATCGCTCAAGGGAGCCATCGGACTTGAGTTTCTGTTTGTATATCCACTTACCGGAAATAACATTAGTGAACGGGGGGCGGGGCACAACATTCCAAGTATTTTTTTTAATTAAAGCAGTATATTCCTCAATCATAGTGTTACGCCAATTTTGGTCAAGAAGAGCTTGGCGATAGTTGGTGGGAATGGAAGAGGTAGAGGATGCAACTAGAGAGAAAGGGACTTTGAGTTTGTGGATGCCCACTTTACTGCGAGTCACCATAGGGTGAGCAGGGGGAGGTGTGGGAGTATGGGAAGGAGATATGGGAGTAGGAGAAGGAGATGTGGGAGTAGGAGAAGGGGTTGTGAGCTGGTCGTGGTCGAGAGGTGGTGCCGCAGGTGAAACAGGTGTTGGCTGTATTGTAGGACTGTTGGACGATCTGTTGGAACATGGTTGTTCACTGTTGGAATAGTTAGATGAACTGTTGCAACAGTTAGACTAAGTCTGAGAGAGGAGGAACATGGAGGGTGTGTTTTCGTCCAAGGTAGAGGTAAGGGAGTGTGTTTGTGGGGGGAGTTGACTCAGCAAAGGGAAAGTGAGTTTCGTCGAAGGTAACATGACGAGAAATTATGATTCGGCCAGTGGATCTATCAAGGCAACGATAGCCTTTGTGAGAGGAAGGGTGACCGAGACACAAGGAGTAGAACGGGGGGGAGAGTTTATGTGGTGTGGTGGCGGTGAGGTTGGGATAACAGAGACAGCCGGATTCTCGAAGATGAGAGTATGTAAGTTTGGTGAGGTAAAGAGATTCGTGAGGGGTCCGATTTTGTGTGGTTTTGGTAGGTAAGATATTGAGTAGGTGGGTGGCCATATGAAGAGATTCGACCCAATAAGTAGGAGGCAGATGAGCTTGAAAGATGAGGGATCGAATCATGTTGGTTATAGTGCGAATCATTCGTTCTGCGTGTCCGTTTTGAGGGGAGGTGTGGGGACACAAAAAATGATTTAGGATACTGTGTTTAGTAAAGTAGTTTTGAAAATCCGCATTTTTTAATTCACGGCCATTTCACTTTGTATGGTTTTGAGGGGATGTTGGAATTGATTTTTTAGAAGTGTATGAAAATTGACAAAGGTTGTAAAAGCGTCAGATTTATTACGAAGAGGAAAAGTCCATAAATAATGGGTAAAATCATCAACTAACACAAGATAGTATTTGAAACCCGTAAGACTAGACACATGAGAAGTCCATAAATCAGCATGAATAATTTGAAATGGAGCAACAGTAGTAGATTTTTGAGAAAAAAATGGTAGACGAAAATGTTTGCCTAATTGACAGGCATTACAAAGAGACTCCCTAGGGTTTTTATTATGAGGAAGAAAAGTGCTAGAAAATAAACGGGGCATGACGTGTTTGCCGGGATGGCCTAGACGCCGATGCCAAAGAGTTTGAGACGAGGGTGTTGAGACAGTGAGGAAAGCAACGGGAGGTGAGGAAGGAGAAGGGACGCCAAATGGATATAGGTCAGCGGAGCTATTGCACCTGATAATCTCGACTCAACTACGAAGATCCTTCACAGAAAAACCAAATGAGTCAAATTCAACCGAACATGAGCTATCGCGGGTGAACTTTCGAATATAGATAAGGTGTTTGATGATATTGGGTGTGTCATAGACATTTGTGAGGCGAAAATGAGTGGTGGGAATAATTGTGTGGCCTATGTGGGTGTGGGGAGGGTGGAACCATTATCGACGATGACATGTTTGGGGAAATTACTGCTAGGATTAAAAACAAAATTGAAATTACCTGAGTGTGGTGCCATATGAGAGGTTGCGCTGCTGTCCATGAACCACTGTGACTCGGTAGGCTGCTGAAGTGTCACCGTATTCAAACGATTTGCTAGATCCACCATGTTGGCACTGTTGCATGAACTGTTGCAATAGTTGATGGAACTGTTAGAGCTGTGCCATGGCTGCTGTTGGGGATGAACCTGAGCACGGACCGAGTGGCCGGTGTAGGGTTCTGGTGGTCCAGTAAAGTAGGCTTGAGCCGCTGGAGCGGATGGGTGGTCCGATGTATTTGGAGCGGGTCCTAGAATTGACGGGAACGACTGTTGTCGGTAAGGTGCGCGCCAGGGCTAAGATGCGCTATGAGCACTATGGTGGCCGTAGTGCTACATGGGGTGACGGTTAGTGCCGCGTCCTCCGCGACGGTTGGATCGGCCACCCCCGCGCTGGTAGCGCGAAGAACCACCTCCGCGGGAACTGTTGCAACTGTTGGATGGACAGCTCGCGTTGTAGGCGTAGAAAACAGCAGCGGTCTGCTCAGGTTCAACAAGTCTTGTTTCTTCCATCTGAAGGAGCGATCAAGTCTGTAGAAAAGTCGGAAGGGGATTCTGAAAGGAGATGAGATTGGCGACGGTCCCGTAATTTTCCCGAAACCCGACATCGGCCAAGCTGTCCGCCGTGGTTTTGATTATTTGGCAATAATCGTGAATGAAGAGAGTGCCTTTCTTGAGGGACTTGAATTTCTCTTCAAGTTGAATGGCCCGATAATCTTTATTATCGGTGAAGAGAGAAGAGATGGCGGTCCAGAGATCACTGGCGGTGGATGTTTTGGAGAGAACCATGCTGGACAATGATACGAAATACAATTTAATATATTATTTAATTAATTGTTTAGTTAGTATTTTATTATTAATTAATTAGCATAGTATAATTAGATTGAATATAGCCGTGAGTTAGTAGTGGTTAGGAGATTATTAGGTATTTAATTAGTATAGGTAATTATCTTTTCCAGTTAGATTAGGATTCTAGGGTTTTATTATCTTTAAATAGTCGTCTTGTGCTAGGGTTTTATTATGAAGAGAACAATATTAAAGAATAGATCTTACGTTTCGTAGGAAATATTTATGATACTCGAGAGATCGTATCAATTGGTATCAGAGCGAAGTTGCGATTAACACCCACGCTTCGTTAGCCAGGCAGCGATTACATTCAAGCTACGCTGGAGCAAAGTTGAAATCACATCAAAACTTTGTGAAAATTACGATGTCTGAAACAAGAC